ATCAATCTATCATACCAAAATACCTCTGCAGTGTAGTAAATTACTTAGTATGGCTTTTCTACCCATAAGTCATTGTAAACTCAGTGGTGGAATGAGCAACTGAGGAGCTCCTGATTGTAAATGTTATCCACCTGGGTTATTTCTGTTGGGCGTGGCACAACGCAATGTTATGGGAGGTTCACTCTCAGTTGCTTAGAATTCTGTTGTTATGATTGGTTGGTGTGGCCACTCTGCCAAGCTCAAAAGGAGGCCTCCTAGAGGCAGAACTCTCTCTCTGACTGCTAGTTGAGGAAGATGTGCTGCTGAAAGAGACACGTGCTGCTGTGAAAGAGACGCAAGAGGCACACGTTGCTGAGTAAAACACCGAGGGACATGCACTGCTGGGGGAGAGACTGTGAGAGACTTGGCTGAGAGACGGAGACTGAGCATTTTTCCTGAACTTGAATCGTAGTCTGGTGCTTCCCTAATAAACCTCAAATCTGTGAGTTCCGTGTGGCCACTGCAGCAAATTATCGAAACCAGGAGAGAGGTGGTGGATGCTTTGGGAGGAACAGTTGGTGAAAGGGCTAGAGGGAGGCAGCATGTCTGGCCTTGCAGGAATAGGCCTTGGGCTATTTATGGTGACTCTGCCTTCCTCTTGTGGGGTTCTAGGAGGTCAGAATATGTGGCCTCCTTGTCCTTTTGCAACCTCCTTGTAAGATGTTGTACATAAAACTACTGCTTTTTCTTTTCTGAATGTATACCTTTTCCTCAGCTTAGAAACTACTGATGAAGATTTTTTTTTTTAATACCAAAGTTATTATTACATGATATTTCTATGCTATACCACAGGTGGCTATAGAGTTACAAAAGAAAGAAAAATTTCCTGAAATTCTAGAAAAGATATTACTCAACATTTGGACACACCTTTATAGTGATACAAATGGGTAACAATGACAATCTTTTATTACAGAAGAAAATGTGAAGGTATAATCTTACCTGCTTAAAAAGTTGAAAGTTAACTGCTGTTTCCAAGAACTGTTTCATCAGACTTGAGCGGTGCTTCACAAAACTCTCTTCGCAGAAAGTGATGGGCTCACCCTAAACAGAAATAAAGATATTCAGGCATAAAAAACTCATGGAGCACCAGTTAAGTTAGCAATATATTACTTTCTAAGAAGGTATGTGGAGAGTCAGCAGAAGTGTAAGACACAGGCTTGACTTGAAGGTGTTCACAGTCTAAAGGGAGTCAGAGTCAACAGTTTTTACTACTTGCAAAGACTAGAATATTTTTATTAGCCTGAAAGCCAAATGGCTGGATTTTAGGCTACTACAAATATTCCTCTACTGACAAGCTTCCTAACAACAAAAAAAAATGCCTTGGGCCCTTATATTGCTTAATCTCAAGCAATCACAGTAAGAGTAGATCCCAAAAAAGAGTGATGTTCAACTTTCAAATAATAGTAGTAAAAAAAATTATCATTAAATTTAAGTATTAAACACAGCATGTCTGCCTCAAAAAAGTACAATCACTGTATTTTCATCCTGATTAATAAAATATATTCTTACCATAACAACTGCAGCATGATTTTTGTCATTTATGTTAGTTTTTATGATCATCAATTTGTTCTGAATTTATGAAAAGCTCTTACAATCACATTCTCATCCTAATTGCAAGTGCAATTTGGATTGGATACTTTCTAGGATAAGTCCCACTTGGCATCTGCTTTAGTTTAGCCTGTCTGTTAAGTAATCATGTCTTGTAAGTGTCTTGTGGTAGCTTATCCTTCACCAGATGCTCCTCCTCCAAATCACCAAGAACTTAAATGCCAACTACAGATTCCACCTGTTCCACTTATTCCCATGCATGACCTCAGAAAATTGTCCCTACCACCTGCTGTTGCTATCATCAGCCTGAATGATCCCCTTTGCCCATTCAACACATATAAAAATGAGTGACTGAACTTTATAATCAAACATAAAACAGAAATTAATGCCAATGATTGATCATTACAGTGAACCTTGTCGCAATCTTTATGGTGTAGTAAAAAGGAAAACATGAGCTTGCTCACCTTTTAATAAATTTTTTAAAAAATATTAATTATAATTTAATTTTAAGGAAGACTCAGTATCTTGATTATAGTTATCTGTAAGGGAAATCCTGAAATAAGTTACTGCATGAATGAAAGAATAAGAGAATAGACTAAGCACCTGTGCAATTTAAACATACTTGTACAAATGAGACTGTTACTACTTTCTGATGGAGATTAATAAAATTATAAAAACAGCACTGCCCAATACAGTAGCCAATAGTCACATGTAGCTATTTCAATTTAAATGAGTTGGAATTAAATAAAATTTCAGTTCCTCAGTTGCACTAGCTGCATATAAATTGCTCAGTAACAATGTATGACTCATAGGTACACTACACTGAATTATGCAGCACAGATATAGAACATTCCTGCTGACACAAAAGCTACTTATGGACAGCCTAGTACAGAAAGAAGAAAATGAAATTCAAATAAATTATCAATCATCTACTAATTGTTGACACTTACCTTCTGCCAATGATCTGTGATAAAACTGCCTTATGTACTTCTATACTGAATGTTCTCATTCTTAAGAGCTATAGAATTATTTTTAAATCATAGCTTTTAAAAACTGGATTTATACAAATTTATTTTGGATAAGTGTAAATATACTGTATATGTCACTATCATAGAATGATAATCTAGCAGAGGGGTGAAAAAAACCCAAGCAATCCCTTTTTTGTATATCTAGTACCAGCATTATACCTACTCACATCAGGAATGCAATAAATGTTTAATGAATGAATAAATAAAACAGCATTTGCACGAAGCCTTGTTCCCTATGACATACACTCTTTTCAAAAATAAGTAAATAAAATCATTATTTTTAATGGCAGTTCCTACTATATCACTGCTAATATAAAGTGATCAGGATTGCTGATAATTTTTAATTTGCTATTTTTCCCCAAACATGAAATTATATAAACATGTATTATATTACTGTCAATTATTTGTCTTAAAGTTGTCATTAACATTACAAAAAACATTCTTCAATGTAAATATAAAGCTCTATCTCTAATAGAAAAGTTTATACTTCCTATGATATAATTAAGCTTGTCTTTGGTAGTGTAGTGCCTAAGGCATGTGACTGCTAACCAGAAGGCTGGCGGTTCAAACCCACCAGCCACTCCTCGGAAGGAAGATTGGGCAATCTACTTCTGTAGTGATACTGCCTTGGAAACCC